TTTTAATGTGCATATACAAAAGCAGATAAATAGTCTAATGCATATCTAGAATATTGAAGACGAAACTGTGGCACAAAAAAAACAAAAAAAAAAACATACGCTCTACTCAAACTTTCTCGTTGCTCCTATTTTTGGTTTCCTCTTTTAGCTTGATGCGCCCTAACGATTTCGACAGTTACTTTAATGACCCGAGCTTCCATAACAACGATTAGTTTCAATTATGCGAGCGCAAGCCCGCAATTAGCAAGTTCGCGCAAGGCAGAAAAACCGCATGCATTACACGGTGTAGGCGGTTCTGAAAACAAACAAACAAAGCATCACACACACACACAGACAAACATGCACGCTACATAACATAACCACACACACACAACCACGCACGTACATACAGCACACACGCACACGATGACACAGAAATTCCTACCACGTTTTCCGCGGCTAACGTGGCATCGCCAGCGTACAAGGAGGTCTCCATCAAATCCGATCTTCTCAATTTCACAACTCCATGTTACGAAAATTCGTTCCATCGATTTTCCCGCAACAAAGTGGCGCGGTAAAGTGAACCACGGAAAGAGAAATTAAGCTAAAGGCCTCCAATTAATCGAAAAGTGGCTAAGCGTGAGGGGACCAATTAGCGAGAGAGTAAACCCGCTTGCTTAATTGGCTCCACTCGAGTAGTCAGCCGAACGGAGCCTTATAACTGCGTTTGCAAGGCTATTTATGAATGCCCTACAAATTCCAGTCGCCTCGCAGAACGTGGACATTGTAAAGCTGGTCAGTGTGAATCGCAGCAGTTCGCTACACCCTAAGATACGCAACGGGGTGTCAGCGAACAAAATATGGGTATGCAACTGAGCTGGTGGTGGCCAAACATGGCAATGATGACGTTACTTTGGCGACAACATGAACATACGCTTTAAATTGTTTTCATTGCGTCTACTTTCGTGCAAGGCAACCGGGAGAGCCAATAGCTGCAGTGTATACGGAGAGAACTCAGCAAATGACAAGGCAGAAATGGCAGCGACCTTTTTTTTTTAAATCCTATAATTAGAATTTCGTGTTTTTCAGTAAATACCGAAAAACGCCGATGAATATCCCCCCGACGTGGTTTTCTCGGATTAGGGGAAAACCGAAGAACCCCGATTCGCAGCTGCCGTTGAATAAAAAAAACCTTTGGTTTGGGATAAGTTTTTTTTTTTTTCTTTTTTTTTGTGTGAACTGTCTTTTTTAAGGTTGCCTTTTTTCTTTTTAAAGCCACGTGCTCTGACTTCTGTTCTCAGCACTCAAGATGAATTTTTCAAGCACTTGGCGTAAGTTCAATGGACAGGACGAAAAGAGGACCCCGGGGAGGAATCATTTGGAGTCACACATTTAGAGATGTGTACTTGTTTTATAACATAAGCCCCGATTAACCCCAATTTATTAACTGGCACTGAAAATAAACGCCGAAAAAAACCCACTACAAAAAAAGAAGAATTCCGAAAAAAACACTCCCGGGTGCGGAGAGAAATAAACTCCGAAAACACGCTCTCCTACTCATAATCCATCAAATGCAGTATTGAAAGTGCAATCGTTCAATATAGTTGAGAAAACATTAAACTGTCGTTTCGGGGCGTATAGGAACCTTTATTTTCTCGGTAGACGTAAATTTTCTAGATAAATTTCGCGGGGAAACTAAATTTGCCTGCAGGCCACGTGACATCAATTTTTTTCCCGCCAAATATTACGGCGAAACTGGATTTTTGTATACGTCAGGTGATGTCAGGTGACGTGACGTCAATTTTGCCGCTAAATTTCGCGGGGGAAGCTTAATTGCTGTATAGGTCACAGGATGTCCGGTCACGCGGCATTAAACTTCCCGCTAGATTTAACGGGGAAAGTGTATCGGACTGCAGATCACGTGCCGTCAATTTTTCCGCCCAATTAAGCGTGGCAATTTAATTGGTGCACGGGTCACGCGACGTCAGGACTTGTTTCCCGCCGACTCTGGCGGGGAAACTTAACTGGTGTATAGATCGCGGGATGTCAGGTCACGTGACATCAAATGACAGGGCGTGACTTGGACGCTGTTTCGTTTTCTCCCCGCGAAATTTAGCAGAAAGCGCACGTGCGGGCGAAAAAAAAATTTTGGAATTGGGGTTTCCGTTAAAAAAGCATGTTACGCTTTCAAACAGACTGCTCTATGACTCTGAGCATGTAATAAGCACATGCATACATCATGCTCATTGCCACAATGAAGACTTTGTTTGTTTGTTTTTTTGTGTTTTTTTTTTTTTGGGGGGGGGGGGGGGAGGAGAGGTTTAGACAATTTTAGCTACATCACTGGCCGAGCTCCCTCATACACTGCAGCAATTCGCTTTTCGAAATGCTTCGGGACATACTACACCCATTGGATTGTTTAGAGTGTGCGTACAAATACCCCAACCTTAGTTGTTGGTTTTTATTTATTTATTTTTTTTTCTCAAAACGTAGCACTTGTAATGCTTATTCCGAACGACAGTACGAATACAAAGTATACAAGTTTTAAGGTCCGAGGCCGATCAATCTGATCATAGTATGTGCCGATGAGTTCACGCTGTCCGATGCGTGTTGTTTCAATCTTTATTCACTGTCCTCTCATAGGAATCATAAACAGAAAGACAGTGTGTATAGGCATGTTCTAAGGACACATGTGCACGAATCAAATACGCTTTGCACATGCCTGAATAGTGTCGGCCTATATTCTGTCACCAGGCGTCTTCTGCATGATGTGTGAGCGGTGTGATTGCAAATGGACACACGCGGAGAACGGGTCGCATCCCGGCGCTCGCGTTGGCTGATAAGGGCCAACGATAAGCTCCCAGCTGGGGCCCTTCCCTGTTCTTCGCACGCTCCCGAACGTCGACGGAGCCAGACGATTATCGATTTCATTCAGGTCTCCTAAACTCGCACGCAGGTGCCCGGCCGATCTCCTGGAACATGCGATGGGAGTATATAGAATCGGCGGAAGAACAGAAAAACTAAATAATAATAAACCGAGGGCAGCGCGTATTTCTGACGTGCATGCGCGTTTGTATACCGAGCCGATTGAATGATGCCAGCAGCGGCCAGCGTTCTCAATAGACCCTTTGGCAAAAGTGAGCGCCTTTGAGCTGTACCGCCAACGGACCTTTCCGGAAAATCCCCCAATCTCTGCACATTGCACCGCGAGGCGAGGAGAATTGTGGGGCCGTGCCGATGTCCGTTGGGGCCGACTCGTTCGCACCGCGGTACATCCCATAAATAACTCAATTTTTTTTTTTTTTTTTTACCGTTTTACCACGGCGATATTAGAACACAAAGAAAACAAAGCGAGCACGCCGGTACATCTTCTGTTTTGCTATCGCCTTGCTTTCCTTGTGTTCTGAAATCGCAAAATGCAAAACAAAAAGTAAAGGCTCCTCGTACCTACGGCTGCTCCTTTACTTTTTGTTTGTTCGTTAATAAAGTAAAGTTCGCTAATAATTTGAAAATGGCTAATTCACGGTTTAATCACTGAAAATAGACATACGGTTCCCATTAGAAACTTGCTGAGCGTCATTGGAAGCCACTAATTTAGTAAGTTTCAGGAAGACTATGAGCACGTGAGAAGCGTGCACTAAGTTACCACTCGTGGAGCAGGTACAAGGCTAGCGGTTGTGGTAAAGCGCCCGCGCGATTTTTCCGTCTCTTATCTAGCCCCAGCCTTGTACCTGCTCCACGAGTGGTAACTTCAGCGCACTACTACGCTTCTCACGCGCTCAAAGTATTGCTGAAAATGAATGGTTCAGCGGTTTTCGATGACGCTCAGCAAGTTTCACATTGAAACCATATGTATATTTTCATTAACTAAAAAGTTAATTCGTCATTTCTAATTGATTAGCGACCTAATTAGTAAGTATCGCCCATTTTCGGAGGTCCGCCACCACGAGTAATGCGGTCCCGAGAAAATTATCCTTTTACCTCGAATACACTAATTTTAGGAATTTTCGTCGCTCTCACGTGAAACAGCCTGTATATGAGGCCTGTAAGTTCGACGTCGCTACAGTAAACGACGCACGGATTACATGCAGCGGCTGAGTAAGCGGTTCTTTCGTAGCTGCATGGTTCAATCAAGGAATGCCTCGGAACAAGTTCGACTCGAAAGCCTTTTGATGACGGAAACGCGAATAAGGGGCTTATGGGTGTCAGTTCTTGCGTTCACAACATCGAAACTGACACAAGTCAATAAAATAATTAGGGGGTGATCGAAGAACGAATGTTCATCTGCCACTGAAGTGCGAAAGTGCCAGAAGTGCGAAAGTGCCAGTGCCCGATAAAATACAGCTCCATGACCGCCATTATCAGAAGGAAAATTGTTTTTCGATCCACCAGGTATAGCACTCTCACTTTCACGACCTGTAGGGTGTGCACTGGTGCATATACATAAATGAAGTCACTCGATAAAATTCACGCTTCGCGTTTCCTGCAAGTACCGACACTGTTGTGCGAACGCGCCAAACCACGTGCCTCGAGCGCGTGCTCCGCCGCCATTTGCTTCCAAGGGCCGCTCATATCAGCGTTGCGTCGCCACTGTTTTCGGGAACTGGCGCACTTGGCGCAACTTGGAACACGAATACGGACCCATAAAGGGGCTGAATATCGAAACGACTGTAACCTGGATTGTTGTCGCAGAACATCAGTATACCAAGTTGGGTCCGTGACGCGTCAAGTGATTCTAATTCAGTGAAATATACGAGCGATGCAAAAGCCTTTCCTCATATTCTCACGCAAGGAAGGTGTAAGCAAGCGCCTTAACTTTGGAGGGACCGCCACTCGCACACCGCGGTACCAAACTTCACTCAAACTTGCGAATTCTGTCACCATATATGCAGGGAACATCGTGTCGTTTGTATTACGTATGTGCAGGGTATACAAACGCAGACGCAGCAAACGATAACCGCTGTCTTTCCTCCCCCACGCATGCCCACAGCGTGAATGGTGACGAGGCAGGGGGGACGCACCTAGCCTGACGTAGAGCAGGTACTGCATGGAGGCCCTCGGCGCCGTGTCCAGGATGCTGCCGCGCATCGAGACCCAGGAGATGAAGCCCTCGACGACGACGCAGCCGCTCAGGATCACGATGTAGCCCAGCATGTGCCCCTGAAGGTCCGAGATGCACGCCACCTCGCCGAAGTCCAGGACCAGCAGCAGCACCGCCAGAACTATCAGCCTGCCAGACGAAGAAGGCAACGAAGAAAATATAGATTAGCAGTCGGACAAGTTGTGCGTGCTACTGAAAAAAGCTCGAAGTGATCAACGAAGGCGCTTAAGACAGCTTAATTGTAGGAATGCGAAAGCATTCCTACTTGCAGGACATCCCTACAAGCAGCTCGCAAACTTTTTCCTATCGCACACGGCGCTCTGGCAGTGACGCTCTCCCACTCTCACGGAAGCCATGCGGCTCCACGGCTTCCGTGACGATGCATCCGCGTTGCTCTGCTTTTCTTCGTGTTTGATTTCTGAGGCGCGCCCGCTTTGACCTTGAGCGGCCCCCGCAGGAATCGGTCACGAAGCATTTGCGCTGCTCCGCTTTCGGCCAATGGGACTTTAGGTGCCGTTGATCGCTCAGCCATTGGAAACTTAAGTGCCGTTCTTCGCTGCTACAGACGGAATTTAGGTGACGTGTTTCGCTATTACAGACAACGCCTGTTTCGCTCCATGGGACAGTTAATGCTTTCGCATTAAAACTACACTTTCTCTGGGGCGAAAGGAGACGTAATCTGATGCCCTTTACACCTTCTTTGGGCAGCAATGGCGCCTTCATCGTCTTCTCCTCTAGATCACGCCATGCACAGCGCCTGCCCTCTATGCGCGCATGCAGCTGCAGTCGTTCGTTCTGACGTCTCCAGGTCTGCTGAAAGATGTCTGACCAATCAGGGCGCTCCTTCCCGCACCACCCATGCTCTTTTCCTACTCCGTGAGAGCATATGTGGCGAAGAAAGGGGCGTCCTGATTGGCGGAACATGCTTCACCAGGCCAGATGACGTCAGAGCGAACCATGTGCGCGCATACAGAGCATGTCGTCTTGATACGGGGTAATTCCGCGCGTTCAGTAGTGCTTCCCTGATCACAAGATCGGAATGGTGAAACAATTTGAGAAATATTGTATTTACTAAATGAAATGCAGATCGTGAAGCTTAGCTTGTATATAAATATCCCACAAACCTATTTTCATATACTTAGTAATTCAACCCTTTCATTTTCGTGTCAACGCCTGTGGAGTTTTCTTTTACCCAGTTGGGTACAGAGCGCGTATTCGGGTTGAGTTGATAGCAGGAGAGTTTCACAGAACTTCGTGTCGCGTTAGACGTCCCGTGATGTGTTTACTTGGTCTTCCGCAAGGCATAGAAATCAGGAAAGGCGATGATTACTGGAGGAACTAATTATCGCGATACGTTCGTAAGAATATGTGCACGTTTCGAACAAATATATATATATATATATATATATATATATATATATATATATATATATATATATATATATATATATATATATATATATATATATATATATAACACAAAAAAAACTAAAATACCCAGATGCTGTTTTAAAATTCCCAGAATATTCCAGGTTTCCCTGAAAATTCGTGTAGTTTTCATCTGGAAAACGCTAGTATACCTGACGACCGACAGGGCGGTGGCCATGCACAGATGTATTCCGTGATATTTTTGCTGGATAAACGCTCCGTCTAAAATAAACCGCACGGACAAAATTATTAGCGAGCGCGCAAGGAGAGAAGTTCGTTTTTGTGTCGGAGTTTCAAAAGGACATGATTAGGGTTTCGGCCAGACTGGTTTCTGAGTAGAGATTTGCGCAAGCTGGCCGACTGGGTCGCATGCAATGTGTGACACACAACAAAAACATCGTTTGCAGTCGCTCAAGAGAAGGAAAGCCCAATTTTCCTGATCGATGCTGATTAGGCTGGAAATCTCTTCACTTTGCGCCTGACTTTTCGAGACTCGCGAAATTCCCTGACTATTCTCTGCTTTCCCTGTTATCCAGGTTGGTAGACACTCTGAAAATAAGACAAGCGGAACCACCAATTAGCGTAAGGCAGTAACGATCTTCATTACAAACAAAAAGGAGTGAATAGAACGCTTTTTTTTTTATTCCGAACCGCGAATTATGACCAGCAAAAATGTGGAGACGTACCCTCCAAGGAAATTGAGTAAAATATTTCTATCGAACGAACTTCTATGCAGAACATAGCAATAAAGCTTCTCCCTAGCTAGCGTCGTTAGGAATACGTTACATGTATACATTTGCCTTTTACACATAATCCAAATAATAAGATAGGCGGCGAGATAATTAGTTCCGAAGATGGCGACGAGATGTTTCGGCTCCCTGACGTGACGATCAAGATTATCAGTGACAAGTTACAAGTTCGATGGTACGTAAAAAAGCCCACTCATCACGTTCCTTAATCAAAACCGTCCGAGTTGAGAGTCTGACTTCTGTCGATGAGAGCAGAAATAATCCTACTCAAGAGCGTCACAGCGCTGCGTCCATGGCCGATCGTGTAAGGCCGATCACCGCGACGCTTTTGTTCGCGCACGTCGCCAATAGGTATCCGGATTCGTTACGTAATATTCGTGCAAGCACAGCTACACAGACTCTTTTAAGATCCGTTTTATATCAAAGGGGTCATAAAACGGGTTCTAATGTTGGTGCATAGCCTCCTCTATACGGAGAAAGCCTGGCACATCGACGACGGAGCCATAGAGCGCGCGGCCGCAGGAAAAAGGAGAGGAGGAGCGCGCCGAACGGTGACCAATATGGTAGCGCAGAGCAGAAAGGGCAGACCTAGACAGCGAGCGCTTGGGTCGTGAGCGGCCGCTCCCCGAACCACGCTTGTTTTTGTGTTTTCGTCACCGTCGTTTTCGTAGTCCGGGAGAAACGGGCGCGGCGATTCGAAAGGGCGCAGGGAGAAACGGGAAAGGGTGGACGTTGAGTTTCTCCTCTCCACGATATAGCGACAAGAAAAGAGAGAGAAAAAAAATTGTTTCTGCGTTCGGCCGCTCGCACTTTTGTGGCGCTAGCGGTCAAGGTTCTCTCCGCTCCCGTTTCTCCGCCCCTCCTTTCCCATTTACGGCGGCAGTCTTTTTACGCGACGCGCCAGGCTTTCTCTTTACAGAGGCGCTCCGGTCGTAGTCCGGCCCAAGTGTACTCGCACGGACCGCCACTGATTCAAAAGTTTCTTGGTCGCGGAGAAATTGCCAGGATAAAAGGGGAATCTTTCTTGCCTTCGTAAAGCTCGATGAAGTAATTGTAGGATCGACGAAACCACCCGCTGACGGCAGTCGAGGGCGGCTCACGGATTAAGGCCCGTTCACACGCTTGCGTTTAACTACAACCGAGGGAGACCGGTTTTTAAGCCTCTTACGACCTCTTAGGACCACCTCCGCAGCGACGCATCCGGTCGTAAGCCGTTGCAAGAGGCTTAAAAATCTGTCTTGTCAAAGAATACGTTTACATGGACGCGACGGCAGCGCATCGGATCCAGTTAGCGAATCGGATTCACTTGAACCACTACGTTTACATGCATTCGGATCGACCAGCAGCGGCACCATGGTGTCGAAGGTCACAACGCAAACCTCGTGACCTTCAGATTGTTTCCGAGGTGTCCGGTTTGCCTAGCGGCAGGCGAAGCAAAGCTCCCGTAATACCTCGCTCGAGCACTCGATCCGATCCGCTAGCGTATACATGGAGAGTCTCGATTCGGATTGACCATCTCAAACCACCCCGTCCCAGCGGATCGGACCGGATCCGATCCGATCCGAGCTGTTTACATGGACCGATTCGATTCGTTAACTGGATCCGATGCGCTGCAGTCGCATCCATGTAAACGTAGCCAAGGAGAGTCTCGATTCGGATTGACCATCTCAAACCACCCCGTCCCAGCGGATCGGATCGGATCTGATCCGATCCGAGCTGTTTACATGGACCGATTCGATTCGTTAACTGGATCCGACGCGCTGCAGTCGCATCCATGCAAACGTAGCCTCAGTCGGTCGTCCTCGGGTGCAAGCGTGTCAACGGGCCTTTAGAAACGAGAACTGCGTGAGCACTGGACTTGGGCTCGTGGCGGACACTAGTGGCTCGTGTCCAACCACCGCGGTAATGAGAAGAGCCCAAGTCTATAACAATGCCCGGAGCTCAGCACGCCTTTTCTACTCCCAGTGCGTGGGTATGATTCACGTTAAAGGGACAATGAAGGCGACTTTATTAAATTTTTTTTAAATAGTGTTTTTAGGCTTCTCGGGAACCTGGCATACTGCCCAATTTTTCATAGACATCTGTGACGCGTAATACTTTACCTATGAAAGAACTGAAGAAACCGAAACTGAACTATCTGCGTTTCTCGTTTTTGGGCCTCCGAAAACGGAGGTGACGTAGGGAGTGACGTCACATGTGAATTGTCGGTATCGGCAGCATTTAGGGCGTCGAGACTCTGGTTACCGCGGTGGGTTATAGCAGCGCGGTGGCGCGGTCGTTTCGTCTGACCAACATGTACGGCAATGCCGCTCTCGCGAGCGGATTCGGGCTCCTGTTCAGTGACCTGACACCACGGGAGATGCTCCTAAGGACACGGAACTCTGGAATTCCTCTTTACGAGGACGCCCCAGAATTGCCGCCGACCCAAAGTGATTCGCCTCACACCTACGCCCAGACTCCGGCTAACCTGAAGGTTCTGTTCAAGGTCTCCTGACCGAAAATGTAGCGAACAAATTCTGACGCCATCGCCGACACCTCTGCGCGAGACAACGCTGTTCAACCAGAGACTTCGCAATGCTTCCTCGCTTGGGAGTAGGTGAAAACTAGCGTCGCCCGAACGATCACGGGTCTTCAGTCTACCGTTTGGACATCCTTTAACTGCGCACAAATTTGGCTTGACTACCGCTTTGCAGAATCCCTCGAGTGCCGTGTTCCTAAAGTAAACACGGCACCGACATCTGAAACCAGAACCAAAAAACACCCGCGTGCTCCGCGCTGTGTTCTTTATTTTATATATTTTGTTTGCCCATAGTTTCTCGTTGCCCGTTTCGCGTGCAGTGTAGAAAAGAGAAAAATAATTATGGTGTTTTATTTACTGTTTAGTTATCATTTTTGGTTCGATTTATAGTTTTCATGGTTATTCAAGTGGAATTAGAACAGTGTTCATAAAAA